AGGTTGGACGGGTGAGACTTTCTGCAGTTGTGAATACTTATTGCTCGAAGAGGAGGAAGAGCAATGAGTAGGGAACCTTGGCACATACCCGGTAGAGGAATGCGGGCAGTGCGAGGTTTCTTGTAATGTATGGTTCTGACTCAGACTTTGGCATGAGCCCGGGAGGTGAAGGACGGGGTGATGCACTGTCCTCGTTATGTTTACCGATTCGATCTCTTGGTTCTTGATATTTATTGGTATTCTAACGTTGTTGAATATATTTGGTCGTTGAGTCTGTCTCCTTGTTGTATTGAGCATCAATGGTATGGTGTATTATGGTGATTTGAATATGGAATCCTATGATCTTAGCATCCGGTACATAATTGTTCACTCGGTTTCTTGTAAGTCTCGGTTTGCATCAGGAAGATGTCTTGAACTCTTTTATTGATAAGAGTTTATTATGTATGTTTATAAACATGTGCGATATTGATATGTAATACTTAACTATTTAATTCACTAAGCGTTGACTTACCATTTAAGTGGCAACCTCTCTCAGGAAAGAAGACGGATAAAAAGAAAGAACCCGTCGTTTGACTTGAAGATTTATCGGGGATCTTGAAGATATCGATCTTGTTTTTGGGTAAATAGTAGCTTATATATAGTCTTGTCCCATATTCTTTTGCTACTTAATTAGGGTTGTAAGTAAAAATCCGTTATATCCGATTTGGAATTGTGTTTTGGGTGGTTTTATCACTAAAATATAACAGATATTTCGATGTTTTTCTAGAAATTAATATCCCATATTTTGAGGTTAATTAATATTATGTCCAGATTTGTGTGTTTCAAAGTGTTGGCCTCTGGTTCTTCATCGCATCTGGACCGATGCACCGCCTCTGGACCGATGCACCGCCTCTGGTCCATTTGCATCGCCTCTGGTCTTCTTCCAAACTTAGTCGTTTTATCAGCATTTTTTAGATTTTCCATCCTTGGCCCCGATTGCTTTGACAAAACTTTTAGAATAATTAGGATTAATTTTGGTCCCAATAATTAATAAATTATAATTTATTGGAGATTTTATAGAAATTGGTAATTTGGGGTTTGCTCAAGCGAGATGTTACACCTAGCCTGTAGTTGCAACATGTCCTTTAGTTGGTTGATCATATCGTACGCCCCAAGGCTTTCCATACCCCTTTGGAGTTTCCGGAACCATGGTCGCTGTAACACCCCAAAGCCCAAAGCAACGAACTAGCCCAATAACTTCGAATCCAACTTAAAACCATGGTGGAAGTTATTGGTAGCCCACTACTTGAGACTTATAA